TAAAAAAATTAATGTGACCTTGACCTGACCTTCGCTACGCAACCCAAGGTCAAACTGATGTGATCAGTAAATACATCTTTTTAAACGCCACAACTTTTATCTGAAACATTTTTTTCTAAAATGCTTAGTTTTCGAGATATTTCACCGGTCCGGGACTTTTTGAACACCCTGTATATGTGCAATCTATCCTTTACATTTTTACATGATTTGTCAATGAAAACCAATAGAAAAATACAAATGCAGGTACTGTTTGCGATATTTCAATGTACACTAAGTGCAAAAAAAATAAAGATTGGAGTTGGGTCCCTCATACGGAATATTTACCTTTTCTTTAATTAATATCTCGATAATTATTGCGAATATCGCAAAACGATATAAAACTTTTATGTTCATTTTAATCTGTACTATGCCTCCACGAGAGCTTCGGAGGTTGTTCTGGAGCACCCTGTATAGGCAAGATGCATAATTCCTGGAAGCGTCAAATATGACTACCTTTAGTGCGGGACAATGGGGACTCCGATTGGTAAGCTAAAAATATTGGAGATCCAAGAAATTAGAAACATCAATTATTCTAATATGTACCGTTACACCTGGCACTATTATTCTAGGTAAATTGTTTGTCTATTGTTTGTTTGAACTTTTAAAGTTTTAAGTTGCCTATATATTGATATAGCTCTGATAACTCGTGTAATAATAAAAGAGAGAGACCCAGGAAATAATAAAAATTCGACTATTTATTAAAAGTTGTTTAATTTTTGGATGATGAGTGAGACTATGTGGTTAATAAGTTAGGTTTTTATCATCTTACCTTTTCTAATGTCCTCTCATAAGTTCTGATACTTTCAATCAAACTGATGGCAAAGGGATATAATTGGTTAGCCTGATGAGCCTTATTCACAATAGGTAGAGGAACGCGAAATCCAAGATTCCTCAAATTTCTTACTTCTTTGGATAGTGTAATAATTTCAGGAAGGAAATTCACTTTTAGCTTTAATACATTGCCACGTCCAGTTCTCGAACGCACACTTTCGATAGTAAAAATTCGTCCAGTTACACCGAGATTTCGTGCCTGCACTTTACGCGCCCAGTCGTCGAAAATCTCTTGCGTCGATAGCTTCATACGGAAGCTATCGCCATCGGCTTTCAATTTCTGACCTTCAATATGGCTTTCCCATCCCTTACCTAAATATATATATATATATATATTAATTTTAAAAATCAATCTTCAAAATTTAAAGTTTCGAAAATTACCTAAAACATCTTCAACGCGTTTTAAATACATTGTTAGCTGATAATCGATCTGTTTGACCCATATTATAGATCCAGCAACAGGTGGTAAATCTCTCACCATACTCATTCTACAGCATTTGCTTTGTGCATATTGAACCTATATAGAATTTTATAGTTATTGATATATTTTCATCTATTTTATATTTATTAAGTATATAAATAAGTAGTTAAATTATCTTTATACCTTAAACTTTTCATGTAACGCTTCGATATCATCTTTGACTCTTTGTATCAGTTGTGTCTGATATTCCCTAATAGCGCCTCGAATATGTGGTCTCACAAAGAGCGCATTGAACCTTGAAAATATTCTAAACATCTCATTTGCATTTTTAGCTGTGCCTAATTGATCTCGAAGATGCGCTGTAATCCTTGCTTCTACGCGTTCTATACGCTCCTCATATCTGTGCACTGCAGCATCCCAAGATTCCTGCCCTTCTTTGCTAATATCCAGACAATCTACTTCCTTTACATTCTCGTAAGCTAAATTAACTTCACTAATTGCATTAGCATCTGCAGCATCTAAGGCGAATTCCACTTTTACATTGTCATTATCAGTATTTTCCATCATGGGATTACTATTTTGGCGAACAGGTCTGAGTACACGAACTATCACTGTTCTCAATTGTTCATGCTGCCGACGGAAGCGACGCATGTGCTCCATTCTCGATTGCAACTTCTTGTGCGCTGGTAATACTCTCCATACCATTTTCATATGCTCGTCACGTTTCTTCTTTACAACATCCCTCAACAATCCTGTAAGCTTGTCATATTCATCATCCCAAGTAGTGAACACTTCAAAACATTGACCCATAACTTTCTCAAATTCATCGAACGGAATATGCATCAAACGTCGTGTACCCAATACCTTCAACAACTGTTGTCCTAAATCTCTTGAGATAGCTTCTACCAATCTTAATACTCTCTGAATGGGATATTTCGTGCTTCTTATTTTTCTCAAGTGCATGAAAATCTGTTGTACGCTGCTACGTATTCTTTCTAATTCGGTAGCCGATAATAAGTCGTTGATCGGAAAATCTTTCATTAACGGGTTATAATCATTCACCGTAGCTAGCGCTTGTTTCAAGCCAGTATCAGTATCGAAACTCACAGTGGCATGAAATCGTTTGCCATGTTTGAGTATATCAAGCGTCAAAGAGATTTCAATACTTTCTCGTTTTTCTTGAATACGATGTAATGCTCTTTCAAGATTTAGCCAGAAAGATATTTCTTGAAGTGCTGTACCCGATTCAGGATCTCGATTCAGTTTGGTCACTTTTTGAATTTCTTTTATCCATCTGTTTACACCGTTCTGCAATTGATTCAAAAATGTTGAATCTTCCACTTTATCTCCAAAGTCAGCGACTTTTGGCTTACGACCTTCTTCTTCGCATTGTTTAATGACTTGCGCAACAATTGGATGTACAGGTAATGAAATTTCCGGAATATCGATGTTTTGTTGTAAATGCAATAAGCCCATTTCAAGTTCTGCAATTTTCTTTTCTACTAATGGTACCATTTTGTCTCCATCTCTGTGAGCGCGACCTGTCTCCTTTACGTAACTTTTGAAATAAGGCGCCATAGTTTTGCTTATTGCGTGCAAAGTTTCATATGGCGGTCCATCAGAGAAAGTGATCAAACGCAATTGAGAATGGATAGATTTGTCAGCTTCAATGACCATTCCACGTTTTGTTAAAACTAAAGAGGCCATTTTTGGATTTGAGAAGCGTATCTCATTTGATATATAATAAGTTGCATTTTCCTTGTCCTCATCTCCTTCACCGCTATCTTCTTCTGCAAAAAGAATATCGATATAAAAGGTTTTATTTAAAATTATTAGGAAGATTTCACTTGAAATTATTATTATGATAATTATATCATATTAATATATACAAGATATTCTATTTTAATTCACCTCCTTCCCCAAAGAACTTTTTTATGTTTGATTGTAAAAAATGCTTCAGTTAAAGTTATTTGGTTTGAAGGGGGACACATGATATGAGTCATGTTATAGATATCGACGTTTTCAAGAAATTTTAAAGGCGATTAATTTCTTAAATAAAACTTGATTTTTTTTTTTTAATAAAAGTTGTGGATCTCGTCAAGACGTTTTTAAAATTTCCCCAACATAAATTATTACTTCGTCGGGCTCAACAAGATTATTTAAAACGTAACAAAAGATTGGTCCAAAAGAAAATAATATTCTGATAATGCTGGCAATAAAATTCCCACATCTCAACAAAGATCATTGAAGACGAGCACGATATCCTACAAAGCACGATAAATATTCAGATTTGAACAATTCCACCCTTACCATATTGTTTTGACATAGTAGCTCGAAGCTCGAGACTTTAACCATAGGTTTACAATTGGGTTAAAAACCGTGAGTTTACAACTGAGCTAGAAATCAATATCGAAGAGACCTATATTTCTTCATGCATATCCTGTTTACAAGTGAAGCAATATTAAACAACAAAGAGGAGAACTAGACACAACTGGTATTATTAATCTAATCACTATCCACAATGGCAGCGGAGCATGGAATACCAGCACCAATGGTCGATTAATGATTGGAGTGGATTATCGGGATCCATATAATTGGATTTAACTTCCTTTTTGCATGTATTTACTGGAATTTCAGGATGCAAAATTCATGTTGCTCGAGTTCTAGCACTTTCTAACATAAAAGAAAATCTGCCATATATTTGGGAAAAAATATCATATTTTTGGTGACGAAAATGCTATTAGACCGTGATTACTCATACCATATAGGGAAACAATAAATTTAAATTGTAGTTAAACAATTATAATAAAAAATTCTGTGCAAAAAGGGTAAAAATTTAAAACAAACTTAGTATTTTCAAAGGTAGTTTTCGTCAATTTTTACGATATGCATAAAATTGAAAAAATTAGTAAATACATTCTTGCACTTTGCGTTTTGCATAACTTATATATAAAAAGAAATGATTTAATTGATTAGTGATAAAATTATATTTAAGATAAAAATACCAAAGAGAGATAATGATATTAAATTCCGAGTTATAGTTGAAGCTAAGAGAAATATAAAAGATAATCTGTTCTTATTTAAGTAAAATAATTTAAATATTAACGAATAATCAAGTTATTCTAACAGTGTGTTTTCATACTTTTAATTTGTTTTTAACATAGAAATATATTTATTAAATACTTTATATATATATATATATATATATATATATATATATATATATATGTGTGTGTGTGTGTGTGTGTACTTTAGCTTATATGGCGAGAAGAAAAAATACACATTTATTATTTACATTAAATTTTAAATAAAAATATTTTTAAAAATTAAAGTTGAATAAAATAATTTCTTATCTTTTATAGCTCACTTTTCCTTCTTTTTAGTAGCCTAAATTATTTTAGAAAAATTATCACTATTGTATTAGATTTGGTTTCCAGGTTTGAGTCACGTGGATTCTTCTTTATCTGATTCCGACGTTTCGCAAACATTTCAGTCCACTTTATCAGGTAGTTCCTTCCTGATCGGAGGAACCCCGATCGTTTTCGGGGATATGTTTAAAAATTAATATTTGAAACATACATCTAACAATAGTTCATAAAGCATCATCATATAATACACATATCAGGGTATTTAGCGTAATAATTCGCACGATTTTTTAGATACTTCCGACGATTCAAGAAAAAGATTGCAAGGCGAATTTTCAATTGCTTCGTGCAAGCTACAATATAATAACAAAAGATGAAAAATACTTTTGGTGAATATGAATCTGCATTCAAAATTATCACAGAAATTTATAAAATTTTTCATTGACGAAAGAAACGATGTCACAATTAGAGATGTGCGAACTACTCGAATTCGAATTGAATCGAATCGAATTAGATGAAATCCCTATTATTTGAGTCTGAATAATTCGAAAATTTCGAATCGAAAAGTTTCAAATACGAATTGCACACATTAGCATTAACGAAGTACTATTAAAGACATCCTATTAAAGACAGCTTTACAGGAATTAGCTTGACTTGAAAAGTTTACATTTTCATACATTAAGATTTTCTTCAAAAATGTTAAAAGAAGATAATGGCTTTTAGATAAACTCTTACCGACAATTGTCGGATCGATATGTGTCGTTGCGCTTTCAAAGCTTGAACTATATTCCATACACGTTTACCGACTATATATTGTATATTTCTTACCTTAAAATGAATTGATATCACATGATCAATGTTATCTCTTTCATACCGAAGTCACTATTTTCATGTTGAATTCAATGATTATGTTAATTAAAAATTCTTTCAACGATTTGATTCAATTTCATTCGATTCGATTCGGGTGAAATTTCATCGATTCGATTCGAATTCGAAATTAAAATCTGAGACTCGATTCGATTCGACATAAAAAATCTTTGATTCGCACATCTCTAGTCACAATTGATAATAGACCTTCGAAAAGATGTTAAGTATCTCAGCGCGTGCTTTCATAGAACTGTTGCGCGACATTTCCGGCATAGAGTAAAGACTTACTCTTCGACTTGTATTTATGGTCGTTACTCGAAACTCCCGAAAATTCGGATTTTATCCACCATATTGTATCTACTACTTTTTGTATTTTTTACAAATAATTCGTAATCAACAATCTCAAAAACCCCCGGATAACAAATTTCAAGCGAATCCGGTCGGTTTCGAAAATTTGACCGCCATATTAAATCTGCCAGTTTGAATTTTGTATTTTTGACATCGAATTCATAATCAGCGATTTCAAAAACTCCTAGATAATTTACATATATTATATATATTTTGTGTGAGAAGGTGTATGTATGTGTTTGTGTATGTTAAACTAATTGAAATTGATTTTTATTATGGTAAAAAAATTGTGAGACCAGTAATTTTGAATGTATTAACGTTATATAATATAAAAAATCGTTTTAGCTTCCAAGTTTTATAAATGTAAGCAAAAACATTTTTCTTCACTTCTAAATTTTAAGTAGACTTTGACACAGTAGACACTCGTGTAACTACAAAATGCAGAGATCATATTGGTTACAAAAATTATAAATTTGTGATAAAAATTAAAGTAAGAGTTTTAATTATAAATTATTTAATCAACAATATACTTCCTGAATAAGCTTGTAGATACAAACATTGAGGAAAAAAGAATTAAAAAAATTTATATATATAAATATATATATATGTATTATATATATATATATATATATATATACAGGGTGACCCATTTTAACTTAGGCAGCCAAATAACTCGAAAAATAAGCACACTACGAAAAAATGTTTAGAATCAAAATTTCGTCATTTCGAGGGGGACGTACAATGACGTTAAAATTAGCCCCCCACCCCTCCCCCTGGGCGCTGAGGGGGGGCAAGTTTGAAATCTTAAATGGGAACCCCTATTTTTTATTGCATATTCGGAATCTTTGGCTAAAAACACATACAATTTGTCTGAAACATTTTTCTCGATTCATGATAGATGGCGCTGTAATCGACGAAATTCAATTTCTTCGATTTCTCTTACTGAGAACCCATGCTTACGATTCTGCAATAAATTAACAATAA